TGTCCTAAATGCAGACAGCAGTTGCAGTTGCAACTGGCCACTGGAATCACTTTAAAATCCCTTAATGGAAATAATTGTGTGTCATGCGGTGAATGCATTCAGGATCATCTTAACCCCAGGGCACAATTCTCCATGAGCTCTAATATCCCATATCTCTCATTGTTTGGAGCTGCTGGACTCAGAGATATGTATGAGGGTACTTTGCTACATATCATTTTATATGCAAATGATCACAAATTCTAAAGCTGCTTCCACAGAATATTCTATTTCTCGTAATAAATATATTTGTTGACACAGAGGATTCATTCATGTCAGTAGTGCTGTGGGCTCCAGCAAAACTAATGAAATGCAAAATATTCTCTTTAGTCTTTATTCTGACTTTTGGTGCAAAATGAGCAAATTCACACAAAGTAATATATAAAATGTCTGGGCTGAGTCTGATCTGAACCCTGTCTCTGAAGGGGAAGATGCAGCTGAATGAGGCAGTAGTTGCAAGTTGAGCTCGTGTGACTTTGTCCTTTACATAAGGTCAACACAAAAATCAAGTATTGCATAAAGCACCTACCAACTGCCTCATTCAATCTGCACAGCAAAATCCATTGGTTTAGAGAAGGAATTCCTCTGTGAATAGACTTACTCAAACACCATCATTTTCCTCCCCATATCTATTTGAAAGTGAAAACCCCAGCATATTTCAGTAATGCTCTGCCCCAAAGGAAAGCTGGGCACAAGCAGTGATTAGGCTGCCATTAATCTCTCTCTGAGTCACCCGAAAGCTTGGGATGTGATTCCTTACCCAGGAAAGTGTTGGAAATGTACTCAGACACCTGGTTGCCGGAGCGGCTCATCTCGGAGAGGTGTGTCAGCTCCCGGTTCAGCATCCTCTTGAACTGGGAGGGGAAGAGCACAGACAAAGATGGCATTTTTCTGAATCCTTTCCCAAATCAACCCAATGTTAGCACAGGCGAGTCCACAAACAAGATGTTAGAAGCAAAATTCTGGGAATATTTGGAATGGAGTCAGAGCCATGGTTTGGTTTCATTTAGATACTGTTCAGCATCACCATGACTGGATATTTCTTTTCAATTCACTAAACTACACCATTAATTTCCTCCAAAGATGCACATTAGTTGTTACTGTCACAAATGAGGAAATAACGTTTCAGGTAATTGCTCTGAAAGCTCAAATTCTTGTTGGGGTTAGAATTCTCCATCCTATAACCTTCTCCTGTTCTGGATTTTGTAAGTTTTCTCCATTTTGTATTATGCAAGGAAAAGACAACTGCATATCCAGAGGAGAAATATGCCATAAATCTGAAGATCTGCTCAGCTCGTTAGAGTAAAATGTAGGATTCAGACATTATTCCCCCACATATACATGCTATAATCCTCCTGATTTTATAATCAAACATTTTCATCGCTGCATCATTTTATCCTGCAACACTGAATTCCCAAAGGGATAAAAAAATTCCATACATGTACTCTGCATGCACACTACACACATGTCGAGCTCTTGCCAAAATACACATAAATAACCATTTAAAAAGCATTTTTTTCCTGATAGAGGTTTTATCCAAGTAACACAGCACAAAACGAACTAGCCATTAATAGTCCTTCAGGAATTAAACCCACCTTAATATAACCCCAAGATACAGATAACAAATAGTTTGCTTCAGGCATTTTGGAAAACTCCTTGCTACCGTCCACAAATCCTCCTGGAGAAATCACTGGTCAGACAGGAGAGCTCCTTGGGAACACAGACAACCCCTTCCCCAGTCCAGGAAAAAAATCAGCGTTCAGCAAAGCCAGCGATCCCCCAAAGCCCAGCAGCTGCTAATCCCAGACAAAGCCAAGCCTGGCATCGCATCCTTGCCGAGCCTGCCCGTGGGTGGATGTGCTCGCAGGAGAGAGGAATGAAATCAGGGATTGCACAAAGGAGCGAGGACAGATCCGAGTGGATTCAGCCGGATGGCTGGAAGCACTGGGGAATTGGGAATCATCCCGGTTGCTCAGTTGGCTGAAGGGGGTCCCCACTCCGCATTAGGCTCGCTCAGCTGAACATCACGCCAGAAAAATGATGCTGCTTTCGGAGGGGCTGCCAGCTTCAGTAACAGCCATCTTTTTAAGGGAGATTAAAATGGAGGAAGCTCGGGGAATATTTAAATAAGGCAGAAGTAGGCAGCAATCTCTTCTCCATTCCTGCTTTGTTTAATCCTCATCCTTACAGAGACTGATTTTCAAAGCAGGTAGTCCTATATGGATTTTTAAAAGCATCATTTTCACATTTTCAGTGGGATCATTTTTTTTCTCCTACAAGGTAAAGGGCAAAATGTAGCAACATAGCAAAATGTACCCTTACAAACTGGAAATATCTTCCAGGTAAGAGGTATAAACTAATAATAAGCTTAAATCTGTAACAAATGCAATTCATAAATTCTTTCTCACAAGAATATATTCTTGTAAGTGTCCCTGCCCATGGCAGGGGGGTGGAATGAGATGAGCTTTAAAGTCTCCTCCAACCCTAACCATTCTGTGATTCACAATCTAAACTTCAAGATTTAATGATTTCTACAATTTTCGTTTCAAACTGAAAAGCAATCCCTTTATTAGGAAGCTGAAGCTGTCCTTTTAGCATGGAATCAAAAGAAAAGCCCATTGTGCTGTGCGTGTGACAGCCCCCAGCATGGAATCACTGGGATGTGCAGCTCTCCTGCTGCTCCAGGACGTCCTTGGTGATTGCTGCCTGGAACACCCTGCACAACAGTGCCCAGGATTCCCAAAATAAAAGGGCCATCTTTGCTCTGAGATGTTTTTCTGTCTCTAGCCACCTTCACTGCTACCAGCCTGGCTTGGCAGGATGGCACGAGGCTTCCTCATGTGCTGTGGGACATGTGGGGCATGGGGGCAGCCTATGCCCCTGGTCCCTGCTCCCTGTTTGCCCAGGCCAGAGAAGGCATGGCTCCAGAACATTCAGATGGGATTCCAGCTCAGCCTTCAGCTACAAGAAGCACATGGAGCAAAGGAAGCTGTGACCCACCTTCTTCTCTCCTTAAATTCATTATTATCAGAGGTGGGAAGCTGATGGTACCTCCCTTTTACCCTGTGGCTGTCTGCAGAACAAAGATGGGGTGCTACCTGCTGGGGACACTGCCATCATCATCTCTGCTCTCTCCTCTCAGGAAATTTTCACTATTTTCCCATTAGGAAAAAATTCTTCCCTGTGAGAGTGGGGAGGCCCTAGCACAAGTTGTCCAGAAGAGCTGTGGCTGCCCCATCCCTGGGAGTCTCCAAGGCCAGGTTGGACAGGACCTGGAGCAACCTGGGCTAGTGGAAGGTGTCCCTGCCCACAGCAAGGGGGTTGAAACTGGATAATCTTCAAGGTCTCCTTCCAACCCAAACCATTCTATGATTCCATGATTCTCTTGCAGCATTCTCTGCCTTGCCCTGCCAGTGTCGTAGAATCATGGAATGATTTGGATTGGGAAGGATCTTAAAGCTCATCTCATTCCACCCCCTGCCATGGACAGGGACATCTTCCACTACACCAAGTTGCTCCATGCCCTATCCAACCTGTCCTTGAACTCTCCCAGGGAAGGGGTAGCCACAGCTTCTCTGGGTAACCTGTGCCAGGGCCTCCCCACCCTCACAGCCCAGAATTCCCTCCCAATCTCTAATCCAAACCTACTCTCAATGTCACACAGTGAGGCCTCACTTTCCAGGTTACTCAAACTGCTTAAATATTGTCTTGTGATACAAGAAGGAAAAGGATGTCAAGGTGGATATCTCATGGGATATGGGCAGGAGGAGGATGTGAAGGATGCTGGCTGCTCAGGAGGACATTCCAGAGCACTGGGCCATGGGCTTTTGCTCACAGGGTCTCCTCTACACTCCATGCCAACCAAGAGGGACAAAAGCGTTTTTGAAACTCCCAAGAGGAGCCTTAGTGCTGGAGGATGAGTGGCAGCAAGGATGAAAACCAAGGCAGAGAAAGGCCGTGGGAGGGGAGGAGGGCTCTGACCCCATCACTCCTCACAGTGACGTATTTTCACTGGTCACAAGCACCAGCCAGTGACACGTGAGCACTCCCACAGCCTGACAGCCAAGCACGTGCTGAAACACTCTCTGGATCGAGGCCTTTATCTTTACAAGGAAAACACCATCATCAGATGATCACACAAATGACTTTTAAGCACCGCTGAATCAGTTGGGTTTTCTATACAATCACCCCTTTCAGTTAAATGATCCCAAGTGATGGACAAACATCTGATAAAAATGCCTTTACCTCACAACTGGCTCCATAAAGCACAAAGGGCAGCTGCTCCCTTTTCACAGCAGCACAGAGCAATTAAATGGTCTGCACAAGGTCACCCAAGCCATCTGCAGCAGAGATGAGGACAGATAAACGACCTCAGGATCCCCATATCCGATCTGTAACAGGAAATCTGTCCCCCACAGCTCCTCCAACAGCCTTAATCTCCTTCACTTTTCCAGACTTTTAATCAGCAACCTTTTATAAACACAAGCAGCAGAATCAAAGCACTGCTAGAAGAACTATCAGGGCCAAACCCAGCTGAGACACCCACGGAGCTGTGGGAATTCTCACAGGATTTGCAAAGTTTATTATGATTTGCCATCTGAACGATGCTGGCACCTAAGCAAGATTTACTTAATAACGTGATGCCCTTTCAAAAACATACGGTCCAGCATGGACCAAGGCATGCTGGCTGTCTTCACTGCTCATGGGGTATATTTGGGATTTTTCCTGAGCTACCCTTGATGTCAGGATGCCCTGGTAAGTGCTCTGCCACTTGCCTGCAGGGAGCAAGCAGTTTAATGCCTCTGCAGGGATCAATGGCTGATGTCACGAGCAAACCTCTGTAATGATCAGGTCCTTAAATCGATGCGACAGTAAAGGGTAAAACAAACAGATTGTGGGTAGTGATGAGAAAATGCCAACTGCTCCATGCCAAGCAAACACAAGGACGGGGCTTCAGAGAGCTCGTGCTCTCCCCTCGTAATTATGGTAATGTCCATCAGCAATATGGGCAATTACGGTAATGCCCATCAGGAGCATGTGGACCTGTGCTGCAATTTTCATTATTAATAATCATCTCAGTGCCTTTTCCAAAGGAATTTAGCACTGATAGCCTTGCTGCACAGATGGGAACTGAGGCACGTGCATACACAAGGGTGGACACAGGAGGGAATGACTTTTAAGGGTGCTTCCCTTAAAAAGAATTAAAATCAGGAAAAGGGCTCAGTGCTCCCTTCCCTCTATCCGAAACTCCAACCACAGGACCATGCAAGTAACACAATCAGCTGGTGAGAAGAGTGCAGATAATGGAAATAAGATGAAGCCCAACTGCAATTTTCCATATCCAAAGACACATGGTGGTACAGCCGACCTTCCCAGCGAGTCACCACACTCTGGAACCATCTGGAGGGTTGTGTGAGAAACAGCCACAGCATTGCATGGAGCTTTCCTGTTTTGCATGCTCTGAAGTAACTGCAGAAGTCATCTGCACCAAATTAAGTCTACAAGAATTGAATCATTCTTTGATTACCAGCAGTGACCCTATCCCAGGCATCCTCTGGTTGAGGGAATCCGCAGTTTCTTTCCAGCTTTCTAGTCATGCGTGCGGGCGGTAATTTCCTTGATTACCATCGGGAAAGTTCACTCACAGTTCCCCTCTTGCCTGCCCACACCAAACCCTCACTGCTTAGGATTTTTCTCCACCAGAAGTTGCAATATTTGTATTTACTCCTTCACTGGAGTGAGGGGCAGAAGAAGAAACTTTGGTCTAATTTAAGATAGAATTTGCCAGATGTAGGAGCCCAACTGCACTGGGAGGGCTCTGGCTCTGGGCTCACTGTGTGTGATACAGGGTGACCTTACTGTGGCCTTCCAGTGCCTAAAGGGGCTCCAAAGAGAGATGGAGAGGGACTCTGGACAAGGGCCTGGAGAGACAGGACAAGGAAGAATGGCTTCCCACTGCCAGAGGGCAGGGTTAGATGGGATATTGGGAAGGAATTGTTGACTGTGAGGGTGGGGAGGCCCTGGCACAGGTTGCCCAGAGAAGCTGTGGCTACCCCATCCCTGGAAGTGTCCACGGCCAGGTTGGACAGGGCTTGGAGCAACCTGGGATAGTGGATGATGTCCCTGGCCGTGGCAAGGGGTGGAACAGGATGGGCTTTAAGGTGCCTTCCAACCCAAACTATTCCATGATTCTATGGCATGACTCAGATGGGAACGGGAAACGTCCCCGGTGCTTCAGTATGGAAATTCCCACTCTTCTGGCTCTTTATGGAAGGAGCAACTCTATTTCTCTCTTAGGGAAAGCCATGAAGAAGGACAGACAGTTCTTGGCCTTTTCAGTCCTGCACTGGCTCCAGTGATAAATCGTGCTGTTATTCCTGTTCCTATTCCCCTTTGGAGTACAGCAACAGAGGTGTTCCTGGTGCATCACAGGCAGAATAAAGACAGGAGGATGTATCTGCTGCTGATGTAAATCCTTTGAAGTCAATTTATACCAGCTGGGGTTCCCTGAGGCCAAGAGTCCTTATGCAAAGAGGCTGCTTAAAAAAGTTTTAGTCATTTGCAGGAGCTGAGGGCAATTCCAAGATAAAAGAGCTGCTCAGATGCTGTGGGGCTCCGTCCTGGAGTACCTATGGAGAGAGGGGTCCCACCCCATACTTTGATGGAGGAATCTCGGTGCAGATCTCCAGTGTGTTAAAGTGTTTATAAACTCCCTTCCCGGTGACCCACCCTTCTGACGCAAACGTTACATCCCTCGCTCCTCCACCGCTCCTAGAAATCCCCAGAACAAAAGGATTTGTGGTACAAGGGTTACTTTCGCCTTTGATTCTGCACAGAAGCAGCTGGGCTGAATCCTCCTCACTTAATTACTCAGGTAAATTACTGCAGGTCCAGAGGCGCAATTAAACTTTGGTGCAACTCCATTTAACAGCTCTACTCCTGGGAATAGTTGGATGCCCAGTTCTGGGAGCTGGGAGGAGCTGACGCTCACCTGCCCGTGTGACGGAGCGGGAACGATAGTCCCATCGGAAATTATTTACACACAGGAGGGAAATTACTCATTCGTGTGTACGGCAACCGGGTCAGACAGCCAGTGTGTAATGCTTCTGTCTGGACCTCTGGGTGCTCAGAAGGGATGCATGGGACAGTCTACTGCAGATTTTAAAAAATACGGGATTAATATTATCCCCGTGCTTGAGAAGCTTGAAGCTTGTTATACCCAGCCCTCTCATCCTGACAGACCTCATTCCTGTATTGCACAGAGACCGAATCCTTAAGCAGACCAAACTCCTGGATTTTTGAAGTATGGACCACTTCTTTTGCTGTTTCTTGGCAAGTTTGCAAGTCAAGAGTTAAAATTCTTTAATTTGTAGGAGCAGTAACCCTGCTTATCTGTGTTTTCTTGCTCTTACATCACTTACAGAAAGGACTGTGTCAAACGAATTTGCAGCAGTCCTTGTTACTTCATAATTCCTACTGATTTTCCTTTCTAGGCACTCACGTGGAGGGTGATGGGAAGGTGCATTTAAATGCTTAAATAAAAAAACAAGCCTGTTTCACCCTAATCAGCACTAAAGAAAAAAGTTTTCAGCTGTATTTCAGTGCCTGAAGAAAAGTAGAATGGTTGCAGTCAACTATCAGTCATTAAAAAAATCAAATGTTTTTGCAACTCTCTCTAGTTCTTGTTTCCTAAAACAATATCATGTTTAATGTGCTAGAAACTATTTTTAATGAGATACAAAGTACTATTTGTTTTTTTGGGTTTTTTTGTTTTCCCTTCAGCTTATTTTTTAAACCAAAAAGTAAACACACAGTTATGAAATCTCCAATTTCACATCAAAGCAGAGTTGATTTATATATATGTTCAAAGGAAGACTTTAAAGGAGCAACATCATGACCAACTTGTTGGCCTGATGTTATTAGAATAATTTAAAAATCCACAATGTAAATGTTGATAAATAAATAGCATGTTGCCATAAATCAACATGTGGCTGCTCATGAAAGCAATAACATATATCTGATGTAGACAGAACAATATTCAGATTTTACCCGTGAAGTTTAGCATTTCTGAGAGCAGCAGAACCTCCCTTGGGTGGGACGGATTTACGCAACACGGGGCTTAAAAAAGTGATGAATTGGAACCTGAAGCGGAGTGTGCCTTTCCAGCTCATTTCCAGCCAAATGAGACTTGAAATATGCAAATTGCATTCGAATGCCGGAAAGAAAAAACTCCCTATAGGATCCTGCCCAAGGAAAGCACTGTGGATTAGCGCTGCTTCGAAACCATACTGAATTTCTTCATTTCAAAGCAGGCTCGGGGCATGTTACTCACTTGCTGGGAACGGGTAAGGCAGAGGAAAAACCCCTCCACCCGCTGCGGGGGAATGGGTAAGGTCATGGAGAAACCACCCCCTTTGCTTTCCTGAAAATGAATGTGTCATGTGTTTATAAGGTGTGCCTGCCTGGGTTTGTGTTGGCACACAGAGAAATGCCTGCAGGGCCAAATCTGCTTGCCGCCTCCTCCGGCGGGCAGTCCCGCAGCAGCTTCGGCCCAGGAATGCCAGCCTCGGTGTATCCAACACCATGGATGCACCTGGGATCCAACAGACCTTGGCTTAGGTTTACATTTGGGATCCAACAGACCCTGGGTTAGATTTACATTTGGATTGATATGAAATACTAGGACTGGGAGAGTTTAAGATTTCACAGAATCCTAGAATGGTTTGGATTGGCAGGGGACCTCGAAGAACATCTCATTCCAGCCCCCTGCCATGGCTAGGGACACCTTCCACTAGATCAGCTTGCTCTGAGCCCCATCCAACACTTATTTCTCCCCGTGTGATGTGACAAAGCACACACTGTGCGTCTCCTTGGGTGGAAAAACCACCAGTCAGTGGGGTTTGGTCCAGCCTGAAGCTTAAACTGAAGCTTTGGGTTTCTTTGGAAGAAGCTTGGGTTGATTTCTGTGTCATCCAAAATATTCTTCCTACATGAAGACTAGGCCTCTTCTAGCCAATTAATACAGACTTAATTAATATCTGGAGTCTACATCTCATCTTACTGGATTTTCTGTGGATTTCCTCCCCATTAATACCAAACTACACAGGGCAAGAACCACCCAGAAGCTCAGCAATGATCTCCACGGAATGGCACTCTCTGTCCATCATTGAAAGGCTCATTTTATAAAATAAATTGCGCTGTTGGGAGGAAGAACCACACAAGTGGCACATCACAGCCAAGGGGTAACTGCTGAGAGCAGTATCACCTTTCCTGAGAAAGGTGGTACCCATCACCAGCTGAATGCAGTGGGGTGAGTGTTCATACCAGTTTCTCATCCTAGCACTGCCTTTATTCTTTACTCAAATAAGAGGTGAGAAAATAAAAGCAGAAACAAGCAAAAACACTCATTCTGCAAAATCGTTTTTAGAGTTTTACCAGGTGGAAAAATGTTTGTTGTGTTAACTGCAAAAGGAGAATCGGGAAGGAGAGGTGATGAGAACCAGCCCATGCTGAAGGCAAGGAAGCACCAGCAAAATTAAAACTTACAGCAGCTTGTTTGTTGACACAAAGTTGATTAAAGAAAGACCTGATGCAGCTGACAACATCTGTGGCCTGGAGAGCAGATAGTGCTGCAGGAGGCTGCAGATCTCAGACCAAAATCTTGTGTCAGTCACACCCATGCAAACCACACTGCTGAGGCCTTCAGTGCCAGAGGAAGCCAAACAACTACGTAAGGAGAGCCCACAAACCACCCAGACACTTGCAGGGAGCAGGCAGAGCCATCCCTACTCCTCCGTGGAATTGGGAGATGCCGGACATTTGGATTAAATAACCTGGATTAGAGACTCAATCTTCAGAAAAAAAAACCCAAACCAAATCAAACAAACAACAAACAACTGAGAGGGAAGAGCATTTGTCATTTAACAAGAGAGCAATGCAATTAAACACAGGATTTTGTTAATCGTATGAAGTAGCAATTTAAATTTAATTTAAATTTGAATCAAGCTCTGCAGTCATCATTTAGGCAAATTCAGCTGGGGTTTTACCTGAGTAGGAGAACAGGCTCTGGAAAATTCAAATAACTTTGTGCCCTGAGATGACTTTTCAAAGATGCCCACGATGAAAAAAACTTTGGCAATTTTTAATTGACAGAAGTCTGTTTGCTTCAGAAAACACGGGACAAAAGAGTGAGTCCTGGGAAGAAGTCAGTTTAAGTCCTGGCAAGAAGTCAGGATAGCTCTACAATACAGTATCCCCCCCCAAATGTGGTAGTTGGTCCTGCCAAAATGAAAATGAGCCTAATCCAAGCATCAAAACCATACAGAAGGCACTAATTAATGTAAATACATTTAAATGAAAAATCCTTCTCACATAGAGATAGGCAAATGCACTGCAGAATCATTTTTCTGTGCTAAACCAGCACATCATTTAGCTATGCTAAACCAGCAGCAAGGTGAGGCACTTCTGGTTTGTTGGCTTTAAACACTGAGCAAAGGCTTTAATCGGAGGAATCTCTCCCTCTAAAGAGCTCTGATGATGAGTCTTCAACGCGCTAAATCTCCACAACATGTCCTGCCTTTGATAACACACCATCTTTCAATTAGGTTTCACTTAGTGCAAATATTTGGATCAGCAAGTGCCCCAGTGAATGCAGTTGCTCTGCAACTGGGTGAAAAATTAGGACTTGGAGTCAGATTATGGAAACTGGCCTGGTCCACAAAATCAGGATCAAAAGTAGGACTGCTCCAAGTAATAAGCCCTGCTTTGAAACCCTGCATAGCTCACCTTCATTTTAAGTGATGCTTCTCTTCTGGGATGTCACATGTCTCCAATATCCTTGCTTCACTCCAGAGAGGTCCCTGCTCTGAACAGTTAGTCACTCTCTAGTCCTGCCCTCAGATCATGATTCATTTAGAACCTGCCTTTGAGCTATTATTTATTTAAGCCCCACCCTAATATGTTATAACGTAGAAGTCTGAGAATGCAGAACTCTTAAAACCCATCATGTCCTAGTAAAAGCAGGATTGTTTAAAGGACATGCCAGAAGGTCCTGGGCACCGTTGTGTCCGGGAGAAGGGATGACAGGTCCCCACAAAGGCTCCTGGGAAGAGAGATTTTGAACCAAATTTCTACCCCCAAAGTCTTCATCTCTGCATCAGCAGCACATATGCTGTGCGTGGCTGTGGGATCTCCCTCAGATGGGCTTTTCCCACACATTTACCACATCAATCCCAGAAGATGAGAAAGCATCCACCACTCAGAGTCCCTTTGCTCTAGGAGGATATCTGAAACAGTGGCACTGACTCCTAATCCTGCACCCACACTTCCCACAGCCAACGCTGCAGATTTCCAATATTTCATTTTTTAAATATTTGAATCGGTTTAACTAGGATACCTGACAGCTCAGAGGGCTGGCAAGAGCAAAATATTAGATTGTTAAATGCATATGGCCCCAACTATCCGCACTCCACTTTTATGGTGTATTTCATAGAATCATAGAATATGCTGAGTTGGAAGGGACCCATCAGGATCATCGAGTCCAACTCCTGATTTTTATGCACCTATAAGCTAACTGATACAACCAGAATGGTATATATTTTAGAGGCCAAAGAGCAAAGGAGGAAGAATATGATGGATACAGAGACGGCTACTCTAGAAGTCCATATATCATGATGATGAGAACTGATACAGAGGAGCTGACTCAGACCAAGCTTTCCAAATCCTGAACATCCATGAGAAGCTTTGAGGGGTTTCACAGTCTGGGTCAGAGCCAGTTCCCTCCTCACCCAGCAGCCTTCTCTGGAACCTCTTGTTCATCACTCCTGAGTGTCTCAGTGACAAACCCTGGCTTCCGCATCACTGTAGAAACGCAGTCCCCTGTCCTCTAGGACAAGGACAACCTCACCACGAATGAAACCCCATCAAACAGCACAAAGATGGAGATAACGTTCCCATCCTCAGCCCTAAAGATCTCCTACCTCCTGGAGCATCCTGCCGGTGTGGTGTCCCGCTCCGCCGCCCGCAGCTGGACGTGAACGAAACAGTTAACGGAGCGCCGACGTCAAAGCGGCACGACGTGCGCGGGGCTCTGCGGGGACCCGGCTCTGCGGGACCGCGGGGAGCAGTGCCAGGGGCTGCTCCGGGAGCACAACTCTCCCAAGCTTTCCAGCCCCCGCTTCCGTACCGCCAGTGTCCCCGGGCGAGGGGAATACCGGCGTGCGGCCGGGGAACCGCGCGCGGAGCTCAGTGATTCATCCCGGCTTGTGAAAACAGGAGACGTGGAAGTCTCTTTGTTTCTCCGGCTGCTGCACCAGTGAACAGACCTCTCTTTGTGCGGCGCTCGGCTATTTTAAAGCTTATTAAACAAAGGAAGTTACAGCGAAAAGCAAGGGAAAGACTAAACAGCTCGGCACCACTTAAGGGAAACATCACGTAGGAAGGGGACGATATTGGGGGCTGACAGACTGGCAGGAGGGAGGAGGACGAGCGGGGACGTTGTGCAGCCCGGCACATACACCGCTGGCACTTGGCCCCGCGCCGCCCTCGACCTCCACCGCGGACCTCAGCAGTTTACATTAGTGTCCAGATGTTTATTTAGCCACTCTCTCCTGAAAGCGAGGTGCGGCCTTGCTCCTCTTTTCTGACCGAAATGCCCTTTGAAACACAAGCAAAACGAAATCAGTTCTGTTTATCTTAGTGGCTTCTGGCTCACAGGCTACCAAGACACAAGCACGGAGCCCCGTTGTGATGCTGCTCTGAGCTGCTGTCTGGACACGGCCCTCGGTGGCAAGATTTGAGTTGTGCTATCCAGCACTTGGGAGTAACAGAGATGTCTTTAAAGACGAAATAAGATAATTTAAGGATTTACTCTGCAGTGGGTGTAGCTGCACGAACAGCCTGGGAAGAGAAGTGGGTTTTCAAAGTCGGAGAGCACACAGCAGGACTCTCATTACACCATCTCTGTCCACCTAAACTTTGAATATTCCCACAGACCACAAATGACATTATCTGGACTTGATGGACTGCAAAAAGCTCTAAATGAGACTGATCTAATTTAAGGAGATGGAAAGGTGCTGCTTAGCACCTTTTGGATGTATCCTGCACAGATAGGGAGGTAGCTCCTGAGAATCAATATATTTACTTCATCCCTCAATTTTATCACATTATGGCTCCATAAAAACTTGGAGCTGGCAAGACCAGCACTTCATCTGGGAAAGATACTTGTTCCTTCTTATGAATCAGGGGATGCACTGAGCACATCCTCCCTCAGATCCCAAATGCTATATTAGGGAACAGAGCTGAGCAGGTCCTGCATTTCTGTCTGCAGGACAAGTGAGGCTGGGGACAGCTGCCCAATGCCAAACACAACGTTACAGGTTGGCCACCAAGTGAGAAAATACCCCCTTCCTCATCATCAGGATCTTGAGTCACAAACCCTTCTGAGAAATAGCAGTTGCTTCAGCTGGGAGCTGGAGAGGGTGATAAATGCAGGAATAAAAGAATATATATGTTACAATAGCGTAAATAAGTGTGGTCTGCTTCCTCAGGCAGCACTGAGTGCCTGCAGAGCTTCTTATAGGTAATTTTGTTTCATTGCAAAGCTGCAGGGCCACATCAGCTCACAGCAAAAGATCAGTATAGCATTAGGAAAATAAATTCCCTTCATGTCAGTTGCAATCAGGTAATTTTGCAGGTAATTTTTTTTCTCTACTTTAGAAAGGTAAGGGCACTGTGCACAGTCAGTCCTGCAGCTGGAGCCGCGAGGGCTTGGGCTGGTTTGCAGATCAAGCACTGCTCGGATAATGCGTCAGGACTCAGGAACACTGACAGCACTCCAGGGCACAGAGTTCCCTCTTTGCCAGTTTTCTGTCGGATCCCAGCTCATGGGACTGCAGGTCCCGCTGTGCAAGCGGCAGTGCTCCCTCTGCTCGCACTGATGTCAGTGCAATCGGCTCACTGGAAGATTGGCTGCTCATATCCTCACTCCTCCTGTCATTAACTCACAGCTTAAAAAAGTATACGCACATGTTTTAACCGCTGCTTTCCGAAACCCATCAGCTCAAAGCCAGGATGCCGTCCTGCATGGCGCTTCCCCCCAGCCACCGATTCCTTTCTTGTGCAGGGCTTCTGAGAATCACCCTGCGCACACGTATGCTGAGATCCTCCCTCTCTCTCTGCTGTTGTTGCAACTCTGGATTTTCTAAACTACGTCTGTCAGGAAGGAGACAGGAAATTCGAGTCACACTTGCAACAGCTGTGCCATGCCTACTATCAGTCTCAAATGACGTAGTTTGGCTTGGGTGGCGCAGGGCCAGGAACTGGCGAGAGCGGAGGTCAGGAAGATAGGTCACTGTTTATACTGCTCCTGCACTTGGGAGCATGCCGAGGCTATTTGCTTTCTTCCTATCTATACTGTTTCTCCTTCCGTTTTTCTTTAATAATGTGGAGCCCAAGCATCCTGTTTTCAAAACATCTGACTGTTTTGCTATTTACCGGTGACAAATTGAAATGCCTTTGAGTGAAGCTGGCAGTGGGATACTTGGCATAGGGAAAGACCTGCCTGATGGAGGACAGTTGCAGCCTTCTCATGAAGATGCAGGTTTCCAACCTCACACTGTCAGACTGTCAGACTGCAGAGTCTGCCACCAAACCCCAAAAACCACAAACCCCCCAAATTATGGGAGGTTGAAACGAGATGATCTTTACGGTCCCTTCCAACACAAACCATACTATGAATTGTGTCAATATTTACTGCTGCTGAGGAAAGGGAAGCAAGGTGTGAGGCCATTTTATGATTCTCTTTCACAGATGAAAACTGTGAAACTGGAAGTTGACCAAAAAGCACAAACATTTCAGAAATGGGTTACGAAAGAACGAAGTTTCAGGAACCTTTAGCTTGACCTAGCTGTAAGTCATCTGCACACAGAGAAACCACAACTTTTAATTGCTACATAAGCAATTTAGTTAAATCTTTCACCTTCACAACTCCAGATTTGTCACTCAGCAAAAATAAGTAACCTCAAACCGAAGGGCATCAGTGTCCATACTGGAGGTGCAGCCTAAACCCTTCTCAACTTTCATCCAGCCTTCCTTCAACACAAACTCAAACAAAAAAATAATATTCCTTTCTTGAAAGCTCGACCTATAAAACTTTACTGCTTCCTTTGACCCTGCACATCGTGGTAATCACTACCAGAGGAGGAAGCTGAAACAACATGGGATTTATTTGCTTAACTATTTTCCAAAAACTCAGTTTATGATTCAGCATTTCTGATTTCAGTAATTTCCAATTAAGAAAAAAAATAATAATAACATGGAGTTCGTGCAGAACTGGGTTTAAAACCACGGCAGTTGGGCAAAGACGTGGAGGTGGCTGGCATAAACCGCATCCTGAATCCTGCAGCCAGAGCAGGATCGGGTTGGGAACGTGGGACCGTGACCGCTTCAGCGGATAACGCGGGGCTTGAACCGCTGTCTTAGATCCTTGGAAGAGGCAGGCAAAGGGCTGGGAGCTGCCAGCCCGTCCCGCGGGTGTGCCAGCTCTGCTGGCAGCCCCGGGCAGCGGTGGGGAGGCAGACGGGCCCCGGGGCAGGGAGAGCAGTCTGCCCGCAGCGGCTGCCCCACGAGGGACGGGCGGGCTCGGGGAGATGCGGGAGTGAAGCTGGGCTGATGCGGGGGAGCCCGGATCCAGCGGGGAGCGGGGTTGGAACACCAGGTCCCAGAAGTTGCACACAGGCGCTCAGACCTTGCGTTTCGCTTTCCTCCCTCTCTGCTGCTTCTCAGGATACTCCTGGGAGTCTGCTCTCCTCCTGACTTTAAACACACTTCAGCACTTTACTCCTCGCAAAAAAACTCACAACTCCCCTTTCGCTCACATTAGAAACCCCGAAAGAGCTGCTGCCCTCAGAGATCATTCCCTGTGCACCATCCTTCCCTTCACACCCTCAACATGTGCTGCCAAGTGATGCCGAGCCAGCCC